CCCATGTAGGTCATGAAACAAACAGAGATTGGAGAAAACCAACTGTCATACTGCATGGGATTCAAACCTTTGGGAACAGGTTGTGCAACAGAGGGTTTCAGCAACAAAATGAGACACACTCATCCAGTGTCACAGTGCCAGGGAAGCCCTGCCCCTTTTCCCCCTTTAAGACTTTTACTGGACCAGCAGATATGATATACAGAGAAGAGAAACAAAAATCTTTGCCATCCACTGGTTTACTCCTTAAATGGTCACAATGGTCAGAGGGGAGCCATTCCAAATCCAGGAGCACAAGCCTCTTCCAGGTCTCACATATGGGTGCAGGAACCAAGGCTCTGTGTCATGCTCCACTGCATTTCCAGGCCACAAGCAGGGAGCTGGATGGGAAGTGAAACCCATACAGGATGCATGGTGCCTGCAAATAGAGGATCAACATGACAGCCGCTGCGTCAGTGCCAGCCCTGTCTGTCTCTAAATCCAGCTTCCGCTAGCATGCCTGTGAAGCAGCAGCTAGCTGATGGGCTAAAAGCATGGGCCCCTGCCAGCCCCATGGAAGCCCAAGATGGGTCTCCAGGCCCTGAGGTTCAGCGCTGCCCTACCTTGGCCTGATGATTACAATTGAAAAGGGAAACACCGAATGGCAGAACTCTACCTGGAAGCAGGTGTCATGAACATCAAGTGAGGCTTCCTGTAACAGTGCTCCGAGTCCTGAAAGATCTACTTCCAATTCAGCTCCCTGCTAATGAGCTGGGAAAGCAGCGGAGGATGGTCCAACTGTTTGGGATTCAACACCCATGAAGGAGACCCAAAATGCAGGATTCATAACATTTTAATTGTCGAGTCAAATGTATCAGGACGTACGTGTAATTCCTACACATAGGAATACACACTCAAAAGTTCTGAAATTACAAGTCATCTGTATTAAGGTCAGTGGGAAGGCTCAACTGGCTAATCCTCTGCCAGTAAGTACCAGCCATCATCCCGCATGGGCACCAGTTCCGGCACCATTCCCTGCCCCAGTTGCTGCCCTTCCCATCCAACTCTGCTAATGGCCTAGGAAAGCAGCAGAGGATGGTCCAAAGCCTTGAGACCCTGCACCCATGTGGGAGACCTAGAAGATGCTCCTGGTTTCAGATGGGCTCAGATTTGGCAACGGCAACCATTTCCAAAGTGAATCAGTGGATGGAAGATCTTCCTGTCTCTCCTCCTCTCTGTGTATCTGCCTTTACTACAACAACAACAACAACAACAACAAAAAAGCCATTTATATCACCACACCTAACCTATTCAGAATCTTAGATATGCTCCCTAATATGGAGAAGTTTTCATAAATGTCTACAAGATAAGTATCTAAAGCACAAATGGCAAAACCACATTCTATGAGTGAATATAGTCATGGAGAATGTAGCGATTTAATCAAGCTGAGGAAAGCAGCCTTAGAAGACTGCCATCAGACTAAGCAACCCAGTGCAGAACTATGATAACCTACAAGTTCCTGCACATGCATGGGACCCTGGGAGAAGCTTCTTGCTTCTGGCTTCATACTGGATGAGCTCCAGCCAATGGGGCCATCTGGGGAATAACCAACAGATAGAAGATCCCTCTCTGTATCTTTCCTTTTGTATAACTCTGCCTTTCAAATAAAAACAAATCTCAAAAATAAATTATATATTAAGAAAACAAAAAATTTATATGCCCTAAAGAGGTAATGGAGCAAATAAGTAATCAAAAGAGAAGTAAGCGTTAACTTTTAAACTTTAGCCGATTAAGAAATTTTTAACCAGCTGGGAAGATTATCGACCCACAAACTCTACCATCCCCTAAAGGAGTGCCTACTCTGGCAGACTACGAGCACACAGGTTATTAAAGGTACTTGAGGGAATGACACGCCTGTTCTGTCCTTTGAAGAACCTGTTTTATATAGTGGGTTGGTGTAGCACAGCAGGCTAGGCTGCTACCTGTGACACTGGAGTCCTGTATCTGTGCCAGTTCAGGTTCCACCTGCTACACTCCTTGCCAACCCCACTGGGAAAGCCCTAAGTGCTTGAGCCTCTGCCACCAAGTGGAAGACAGAAATGGAGTTTCCAGGCTCCTGGCTTCTTGGCAATTTGGGAAGAGAACCATTGAATGAAAGGTCTCTAACTGCCCTTCATATAAATGCACTTAAAAAAAAAAAGTCAAAGAAAGATGAATCATCCAAAAATCAGAGGCTGACCCTTTGGAATGGCTTACATTTTGAAGGAATAATCCTTGACTGAAATAAACTGGGTGAGGAGGGGGAAAGAACCAGGACACATGGGATGGGGCTGGGACACAGAAGTTAGAAAGAGGGCATAGGTGGGCCCGGCGCGGTGGCGCAAGTGGTTAAAGGTCCTCGCCTTGCACGCCCGGGATCCCATATGGGCGCCGGTTCTAATCCCGGCAGCCCCGCTTCCCTTCCAGCTCCCTGCCTGTGGCCCGGGAAGGCAGTCGAGGACGGCCCAAAGCTTTGGGACCCTGCACCCGCGTGGGAGACCCAGAAGAGGCTCCTGGCTTCGGATCGGCATAGTATCGGCCCGTTGCGCTCACTTGGGGAGTGAATCATCGGACGGAAGATCTTCCTCTCTGTCTCTCCTCTCTGTATATCCGCCTTTCCAATGAAAAAATAATAAAAATAAATCTTTAAAAAAGAAAGAGGGCATAGGTAAGTGCAGATGGATGTTCTATCAGAACAGAAAATCCCGCAACTGGGGATGGAGAACACAAGCCAAGCCAAGAAGACAGAACAGTGGCAGGTACGGAGAAATCCTTGGGTCCAACTGTGAAATACTGAATGCATATATTTATGCACAGTATATAGATCTTTAAAACAAAGTAAACACGGACCAATCTAGTGGACAACAGATTAAGCTGCTGCCAATGACATCCAGCACCTACCTGACTGCTTTGCTTCTAACACAGCTTCCTGCTAATGCACCGTGAAGTATCTGGGTCCCTGCCAATCAGTGTGGCTGCTCCACTTCTGACTCAGCTCCCTCCCTGCTAACGTGCTTGGGAAAGCAGAAGGCAGTGCAAGTGCTACAGTCCCTCTTCTCGGGCGGAACACTAGGCTGCAGCTCCTGGCCCCTGGAATCAGCTCCCTGATCACTGCAGCCTTTTGGGAAGTAAATCGGCACAGAAAAGATCTCTGTCGGTCCCTTCCTTCTCTAGAGCTTTGTCTTTCAACTAAGTAATAAGTTTTTAAAAAGGGGGGTGGGGGAGGGTAGAGAATATCAAATTTACCAAAACCATGGATTGAAACTGATTACCATCTTTCCAAATCATTACCAATTTGATGACATCAATGCACAAAACTTTCTAAAGTTGTTTTCATATTCTCTGGACTTGTCTCTAGGAATAAACTTGACTTGAGCTCAGAAATCCAAAGAACAAGAGCTGACAGCAACGTGTTTCCCATTTTATTAATAACTTAATACAATCACCACTCCTATTTAAAGGAGCAGAATAAAGGCAATCTTCCAGTTAAAGTACACGGGGAGGCAGCAGAGAGTAACCCAAGGACACGGGTCCTGCCAGCCACTGAACTCTGACATCTGCTTTCGCCACATCCACCCCAGCTGGTAGACGTACGAACAGGAACCTAGGACAGTTCTCCGTCTCCAAAGAAATAAATCTTTAAAAGCACATTCACACCTGTCATTTTTCCTTTAACTGCCTTCAAATACTTTGATTACTGCCTTAGTCCTTTTTTAAAATTCCCAAATATACCGTTGACATATTTTCTGTCACAATACATGAGGTTCCTCAAAAACTCCATGGTGCAACATGATTTTTTACTGAGCTAACACTGACTAAAATTTGTCTGCTGGCGAATGGCCCTACAGCAATCATAAAACAGCAAAACAGAAGAGGGCAGATTAAAGCAAGAGTGCCAATGACAATCTCAGAGACTGAGAAACAAAACAAAACAAAACAAAAACCTTTATTTTGGCTCACACCTAAATCATTTTCATGATTTTACCATGCATATTGTTCTTCAGGAATCTTACATTAAATATACCCTAAAAAACTAGAACAGACTTTTAATAATGAACAAATTGCATAACTGTATCTCATCCCTCCCCCACACAAATGTTACAAAAGTCCAATTGCTATATCATCACTTATAAATAGGTAAGTCTTCATATAATCTCAAAATACACTGAGGAAAATGTAACTGAAAATCAATATCCACCTTCACGAATACGATGAAATGCTAATAAAGTGACACTAGAAGCCCAGGCACAAAATCATACACAGACACAAGAAGGCTACAGATCCCACTCACAAAAAAATGCACCGAACACATTTGCATTTATTTTCTTTTTTAAAAGCAAATGACAGAAGACCCATTTTACCAGCTTTTTTTTTAAACCTAAGCTTAACATTACATATTTAAACAATTGTCAAAACTTACTAAATTACCAGCTTTCATGCACAACTAGAAAACATCCTTAATTTATATTAAACCAGAAATGTATTACCATTAATGCATTAATATCTTCCATTACTAAATACTGAAAAAACTGAAATTATTTTTGTAGATTCATCCTGGCAATGTTACTTCACAGCAGGCTGACACTACGTGGCTCCCATTTCAAACACAATGGAGAAGCAGGTCCATGCTGGTGTTAGTGTACAATCTTGTCCTAGCACTACTGAAGAGTCACGGTTCACCTTGGATCACGTTTCATAAAAAAGCAAAGTGCATACAGAAATTTACAATTTTAAAGACAAAAAAAAAAAATGGTCCTATTATGTGGTCCCAACAATAAACTCAAAAGTCTATGACAAATAGATGCTCCGATGAGCTGTTTATAAATACTTTAGATTAGGTACAATTATACTGAAAGTTGAGTTCGTTTGAAATCTTCAAAAAAATGTTCCTGTTAATCCTCAAATGGTGCTTGTTATAGTTTAACATTTCTGTTAAATGCGTGCGTTGAATTACTTGTTATCCAAGCGTAGCGGCTGCTCCTTACCATTTATCGTCAAGGACTTTAACTGGCCATCTTCCTCGATTTCTACTCTTTCTTGACCATTCTCGACAATTCTGTAGAAAAGAATTCATTTTAAAGCATTTTTAGAGCTTGTATTATCAGTAAACATGTGTTTTAAAAATTTCTTCACCTGCCACATGAAAAGTAAATGTTTTGGTCTAAAAGCAGCAAGTTAAGCCAAACTACTGACAATCTTTACTTTAAAAAAAGAAAAAAAAAGCTGTCTCAAGCTGAATGCTAAGTACCTGCCGAGTTATACAAACAAAACTAGTACAGGTTTGAAATGAAGACAGTTTCTCATTTATCATTTTAACAGCAGAGAAAACATTACATACTACATGTTAAATGCACTTCATAATTACAGATTCCTTCCATGAATTAACACACTGAGGAAATGTAAAAAAGGAAAAGCTCTAGTTAGCTAGTGTACACATTAAGAGAAAGATTCTCTCATTGCCACACTTGGCACTGTACATCTACAAATCACATTATGGATGTGCAAAGTGAACTGCTGCAATGAAACTACATCTACTTATTAAACACAACAAATACACATCAGTTTACCTCTTTGTAGTGATTTTTCTGCCATTAACTATTTTAGTAGAAGTTGATATAGATTTAAAGTTGCCCATTCCACTACCACCAAATGATGAAGAAGAGAAGGAAGTAATGCCTCCGTGACCCAGTGAACCAAATGAAGTAAATCCTAGAGGAAAACAGAAACCAGTGATAGAAAACTAATACAATCAAAGCTATTAATGCAAATGTGACTCCCACAGGAAGGGAAGGCAGCCTTCCTCAATGACTGAGCAAGAAGGCAGAGGAGGACAGAGCCAGGTCGTCCGTATCTTCAATCTCGGGCTCTACCACTTGCCAAGGATGCCTCCTATCCGTGGGTGACCTACTTGGCACCAGGCTTCACAGAGGCAGCATGTGCAGAAATACATCTTCTAACTCTCAGGAAGGCAACTCTACTTCCTTTCCTTATCTTTGCAATGAGATCACGGGGATAAAAAAAATCAAAGCATTAAAAGTCTAAATTCATGATAGAAACAACACTGTGCTTAATAACCTAAGAAATTAGAGTGAGTTCTACATTCCATGAACATATTCAACTACATGACTTTCATTCTATATACACTAAAACCCACTTTAGCCAGGAATAACAGAGCAAACTTATCTTTCACAAAAAGTTTAACAGGTGGCCTATTTCTAAAATGCTGAAAATAATGTATATACCTGAATATGACTCAAAACAGGTTCTATTGCAATGCCTCATAATATTTTATCAACATTCAGGTTATCGCTCAGTATATCAGAAACGCTAGATTTGGAATATAACCTCTACATCTGGTGTACATTTTACAGTTGTAACCCATCTCCAGTCGGACTGACCATATCTCAATGTTTACAGGGTTAGATTAAACCTGGGGTCACTGGCCTCCTTGGTAGTAAGGACAGCTTTCTCCATAGACAGAGACATCCTAGCCGTCCTTTTTTTTTTTTTTTAAAGTAAAAATTTCTTCACATTCTTTAACCAGCATTCTTTTGTATTTGTTAGTCTACAGCTATTACATTACAAGGTATTGAAGGAGAGTGACTTCTGAAGTCTAATCCTGTGGAGTACCAGCACACTGTTCTGAGCTGAAGCAGGCAACCTAAATATGAGCTGCCATTACAGAATCAGATTTAAAAGCAAAAACAAAACAGCTTGTCTAGATGAAGTTTCAAAGAGTTGGCACTTTTCTAATTCTCCAGGTAGAACACACAGCTGTTTCATGATTTCTGTACATTATTCTGGTGTATAAACTGCCTTCCCATAAGTTAGCCATTAACACTAGAGGCATATGGCTAAGCTTATCACAACTGAGCTAGCATGAACAGGGTCACCAATTCAGGCTGACTGCATCAGGTGGACCCTCCTATATTAGGGTGCCACTTCCTGTCTTTATACTTGGCTTTATTTGCAAGAGTTCAAAAACATAAAACGTTAATTGAAATGAGCTATTGTGTAAATAACCCAAGATATTTTAAACCCCTTTTAACTAAGAATTTCAATCAATGTTGACCATTAATATTAACAGTAACAGGCTTCCCAATATTCCTGGGCCAATCAGGAGGAAAACTAAGTTATTAAACAGGTACACACAAGCCAAATCTATTGACAAGTCCATCAACTATTCTAACAAATGAAACATACACTTCTAACTGATCTAACCATCACTGTAAGCCCTGACTTCTGTTTAGATCACAGAAATTAAATCTAGGAATTCAATACCTGTGTCAAAAGCAGGAAATCCACCTCCAAAGCCTGGAAACCCACTGAAGGCAGAGAAAAACGAACCCGGGCCTCGGCTTCTGTTTCCCCGGGGACCCCTTCGGCTCCCAAAAAAGTCATCAAATGGGTCTTCTGGAAACAAAAAACATACATTATAAAACCTTTGTTCAAGTTTGTTTTCCACGGAAGAGCTGTGATAAGAGGAAAAGATGAGTTAATGCTTTATAACATACCACGCCACTAGGAAACAAAATGTTATCTACACGATGTTATAATTAAGTAGCTCATATACGGACTAACTAAAAGACTGGCTCATGCAACAGTTTAACACAGGCGTTTTGAGTCAAACCTAGGTAACAGAATAAAAAAGGCATTAAGCACAGATACATACATAAAGCTTGGTATCACTACTACACTCTAGTGCATTTTTTAAAAATGCACTTTCATTAACTTCTTGCTAAGACAGTTTTTGCCATCACTGTTTCAACGATGTTTTCACAATCAGGAAGTTGTATTCCAAGACGTTAGAGCCTTCTCCAAAGCAAATGAAAAATAAACAAAAAGATTGTTTTAGTGTGATTAATGATAAGCATAAAAAAAGAACAGTACAGCAAATGGCCAAACTAAAGTTACAGAACTTAACCAAGAATGATTAGGAATTTCTGTCATTTTTCTACGACTTAATGTCTTACAAAAAAATCTTTCAAGGTCTAAAATCAAATCTAAACAAACATTAACTAGCAAATATACCACTGTATTTTAAGATATTATAATTGAAAACACTAACAAATAGGCATTGTATTACAACTAGAAATACTCAACACTCTGAAAATTAAAGTAAGATTAGCCCCATCAGTTCAGTCTTAGTTGTGGTTAGGTCATCCCTTAAGAAATAGTGAAGTCAGGGCCCAGGGGTGGTGACTCACTGGGAAGCCTATGGATGTGGGTTGGGGGGAGGGCTAGGGGCATTGCACCGGTGGGCAGGTGGGGGCATAGGAGCTCACCTCTAGGTAGATGGAGTGGACCTGGGGATCTCCTCAAGTGCTTATCCAGGGTGAGAAGAGGGGAGAGGAAGAGCCCCAGGTCAGCACACTGCCCTGGTGAAAACGTCAATGGGCCTGGATCTTGGGTCTGTGGAGAGGTAAGGCACGAGGCCAGAACATGTGCCAGGAGGTTGGGACTCTGCTGGGCAGGCAGACCTCTGGACCAGCAAATACCCACGGGACTTCGGAAGGCTGGGCTTAAGAACCCATGCACTGCTGAGCACAGGGATTGTGGACTGATTAGGGTAAGGTGCAAGGGGATACGGGGTAGGGAGGACTGCTGTGGGAGTATCTTTCAGGTAAGGAATGACTCCTGAGGGACTCCCAATGACAAGGCCACTGTACTTACAGGTAAGCAAGGGAACAGAGACCTGGTGTATTGCAGAGAAGATCCTGGAAGACTTTATGAGTCAGACCGATGCAACATCTCATCTGGGAAACCTGAGCTGGGCTTGGGCTTGTTACCATGGATCATTGCTGACCAACACACGCCAGTCCACACAAAAGCTAGGAGCCTGTCTGGCAGGGCCAGACCCCAGCACCTGACAGTGAGTGACGAACAGGGAACAGGTCACATTAGACTGGGCCAAGACACTAACCAGCATGAATGTAGGCTGGGTCTGGGATGAGCCAGGCTGGGCTAGACTGCAGCCCGCATTGGTGCTCATGAAACAGACTGGGCTAGGCCTCTGCCCCTGTGGAGCCAAGCACGAGCTGTGCATTAGCACCCAACAAGAACTGGAATGGGTAAGGGTTGGTCAGCAAAGGTCACTGTTCATGCTACGATAGGAGGTAGACTAAGCAGGGCTGGTACATGTACACACCAGTGTGTGTGAGATCTAGCATTTGGAGAGGTTCTGATGGAGCAGCTTAGCAACTCCTCTGACGGAGCAAATTCCCTGCAAGTGAGTGCAAGAACCAGTCAGGGAACAACACAGTCCAGGCCAGGTTACACTACCCACTGGCATACATTTGGCTCAGGTCTGGGGAAGAACAGGCTGGACCAGTTCATTATCACTTGCTAGCAAATAAAAGAATTACAACGGGGTATAGGTCATGTCAGAGCCACAATACCAGGCAGTCCACATTAGGGCTGGCACTGGGGGCTGGCAGGGCTGGGCTAGGCTATACCCCCCACCAGTGTGCACTGCAAATGGGGGTGGGGCCGGGCCCAGCCAGGCTACAGCACCCACTGGCAAATGCTAAGGTTAGGTGGATCATGCCAGACTGGGTCAAAGCAGCAGCAAACCAGCACACGTGAGACCCAGGGGGTAGGGAGGCAAACCAATAGGGTCTTTGCGGGGAGTGGGGGACCCTGCTGAGCCACTACCCCCACTGGAGAGCGTGAGTTGGAATAGGGGCAGACCAGCCCAGACAGTGACACAATACTAGGTGGCCTACATGTGTGGTGGACCAGGGCAGAGTCAAGCTGGGCCAATCTGTACCTTCTGCTGCATGCATAAGCCAGAGTGGGTGAGGGTTGGTTGGGCTTTGCCTCAGCATCAGCTAGTAGATGCTGGCAATGGGAGCTAATTCTGTCAGACTAAACAGCAGAACCACCTGGATAGTTCAACACACAGGAGTAGGAGTGGGCCCATCAAGCAAACAGTGGGAACCTCCCTCTTGGGTTGTTACTCCGACTAGTGAGCATAAGAGCCAGGACTGGGGGCAGGCATGGACAGACAGATAGTGGTACCCGCAGACACCAGTGTGGACTGGATAGAGGGGCTGATTGGGATGAATGAGGCTTCAATGCCCATCCAAACACATGAGAGCTGAATGGGATACGGGACAGACTAGACCAGTCTGCTGTACATACTGGCAAGCGCAGGAACCAGGACAGGGGATGGGCCTAGCAGGGGTTATGTGGGGTCACTCCGACCAGGATGCAGCCCCCACTGAATTGCATGAAGGCCAAATATCTGGTGGGCAAGATCAGGCCAGACAGGGCTGGACACAGAACTGACCCAGCAATTGCATACACCAGTGTGTGCGTAGGCCGATTCGCGAAATGGACTGTGCCAAGACCTGTATGTACTGTCAAGTACACACAAGAATCAGGTCTGGGATGCCCTCAGGTGAGGCTTCTTTGGAGATTCTCTACCAACTGAACTTCTGGACTCAAAACCCCAACCACGGAGAGAACTGCAGATTCCGTGGTCTGACCATGCAGTGCAAGTGTCAGAGTCGGGCCTCATTAATGGCTTAGACGGAGCCATGGACAGCATATTCAGATGCACATGGAGGATATGGCAGTATACTAGAGCCTGCAAAGGACACCAAGTACCAGACAGAACAATCAATCAGCTACCCTAGCCAAGCACTGGTAGTGAATATCTGGGCAAATGGAGACTCTCAGGTGAACTATGCCAGCCAGTTGATTCTGGAGAGATTTCATAGTGACTGGAGTGTTGAGATTGACAGCAATTCAGAATTGGACATTCTGGTAGTCTGTTTTCATCCCTGTCCTTAACTCACTCTACCTTGCAAATAAATCCTTAAAAAAAAAAAAAGTATTCTCAATTTTCAATTTAAAAAAGAAAGACCATTCGCTCTCCCTTGAGGATAGAATGGACAACAGAAAGGGGACACAAATGCTGAACTTCAAATCAATTCCAGAGCCAGGCACAAGTGGCTTAAGTCCCACATGAGAGCCGGTTCTTCTCCTGGCTGCTCTACTTCCCTTCCAGTTCCCTGCTTGTGGACTGGGAAAACAGTGGAAGACAGCCTAAGGCCTTAGGATCCTGTACTCGTGTGGGAGACCTGGAAGAAGCTCCTGGCTTCTGGCTTCTGATCAGCTCTGGCCATTGTGGCAAATTGGGGAGTGAACCAGCGAATGGAAGATCCTTCCTATCTCTCCTTCATGATGCAAGTCTGCCTTTACAATAAAATTATACAAATCTGGGCCCAGCGTGATGGTGCAGTGGTTAAGGTCCTCACCTTGCACGCCCGGGATCCCATATGGGCGCCAGTTCTAATCCGGGCAGCCCGCTTCCCATCCAGCTCCCTGCCTGTGACCTGGGAAAGCAGTCGAGGACGGCCCAAAGCTTTGGGACCCTGCACCTATGTAAAACTAAGGTAAACTGTTAGCCAAGAAATGTTACATGATGAATTGTGCCATATTCCAACACTGGAGTCTTAATTCCCAGTGATTATGTATGTCAATTTGGAATTTTTTTTTGAAACGATTATGCTTAAAATGGACTCATTACAGTGGGCCCTAATCCAGTAATAACCACCGATATGCTAATCAGAAGGAGATATTTAGACTTACTAAGTGCAGAGGATACACAATCTGGGTCACAAGAAGAATGCCACTTAAATCCAAAAACCATCCGAGATCAACAACGAACAGGCTTAGGACTTACTCTCCCTTCAAAATGACACCTTTGTCTTGGACTTACCAATTGTTTAGTGAGACATTTCTGGCATCACTCAGTTTGCAATACTGAACACATTACAAACTACAATGTTACGGACCCAGTGCAGTAGCCTAGTGGCTCAAGTGCCCACCATGCAAGTGCTGGGATCCCATACGGACACTGGTTCTAATACCAGCAGCACTGCTTCCCATCCAGCTCCCTGCTGGTGATCTGGGAAGGCAATCGAGGAGGCCCAAGGACTCCCCATGTGGGAGACACAGAAGAAGCTCCTTGGTTCCTGCCTTCGGATTGGTGCAACTCCAGCAGCTGCAGCTATTTGGGGATTGAATCAGCAGACAGAAGACCTTTCTCTATATATCTGACTTTCCGTTAAAAAACAAATAAATCTTTGGGAAAAAAAAAGCACAATGTTACAAAACTTGTGCTATGCTGATGTGACAGTTTAACTGCGTAAATCACCCCCTTGGCAAGCACCGATTTCCCACAAGGGCCAGTTTATGTCCCAGATGCTCCACTTCCTGCCCAGCTCCCCGCTTATGGCCACAAATGCCGTGCAGGACAGCCCAAAGCCTGGGACCATGCACCTGGCTATCCGACCACTTGGAGAGAATCAACAGGCGGAAGATCTTTCCTTTTCTCTGTGGATACGCCTTTTCAATCAAATGAAATAAATCTTTCAAAAACAGAACAAAAACCCTTATGGTGCATCTTTTGGAAGCTGGAAGAATTCAAACAGCAGGTATTCGTAGGCCATTACCTATAGGTCTGCAAACAGTGCAAAGTCGTCCGATGCTTCAAGGATCCCCACAGATTTTAATTCCTTGGGTTCTACCACCAAGGCAGCTAAGGTTTCCGAGCAGGTACACTCTCAAGGCACTAGTATAAACTTTTATTCTAGACAAACTTTATGTAAGCTGTCACAAAGGAGACTGGGGTAGTTCCATGTACAATTTATTGTTCAACCAGCAGTGCCTCCAGCTCCGGCCCGCTGTGCTCGTCCTCACTCAGCAGCTCCTCACACTCCTCGCTGAGTTCGTCCACATCCCCGGGACTGGCTTCGTCCTCACTGGATATGAGCTCCAGTTCCTCACTGAGCAGCTCTCCCTGGTCCCGGCTACAGCCTTCGCTCAGCTCATCTTCACTAAAGAGATCCAGTTCCTCGCTGCTTACCACATCCAAAACCTCACTGTTCTCTTCACTTGGGATGTCTTCCACTGTCTCCTCATAAACAGGCTGGTCTAGTTCTTCACTAGGCTCCAGGTCATCACTGGCCATCTCCTCGAACCCTGGAGAGTAAAATGACTGACTCACTACATTACACTTACACCAGTGCTCAGAAAACCCGGGCTGATTTTGACCCTCAATACAATTTTACTTCCCCCCAAGTCTGCTTTACATAGTTCCATGTACCCAAATGATTTTCTACCACTACATTAAATGGGCTTTCATGGAGGAAAAAACTACTTAGGTGCTAAAATTAAGGGCTCTCTGGCAGTAACTGTAAAGCTTACTTTTGCCCTTCCCCAGTAACAATAAAAATGAAGATTTGTCTCTAACAGATTCAAAAGGCACTGTAATTAACGTTTTCATCTCTTACAACACCATCTTACTCAGTAAATGGTGTTCAGCAAAGATTAAAAGTTACAAAACTTCCTAGTTCAGATTGGGCACAGATAGTTTTTCCATTTTGATAGAAACTCCATTTTGATAGGAGGCTTTTCATCGTTCCACATCTGAAGTTAAATATGGCCAGCTAGCCTCAATGTTCTGCATTTTTTCCAACATGTTGGAGTCAGTATTCTGTGCAGATTTAAATCTACATTACTGCCTTTCTGAGAGCTGCTGTGGTAGAGGAGGCTGAGCTGGTCCACCAGGGCAGACTGCAGTGAGCAACCACCCGGGCCACTACGCACTAACTCTGCAGAGCCTGGTGCTCAGGCCCAGAAGTGCCCGTTCTGCCCACAGCCTGGGCTGGAGAGCGTGAAGCGTATAGGACATAAGGCTCTGCACTCTGACAACTGCAAGGCGCAGCTCAGAAGTACTTCACAGCTGATTATGAACTGTCTGTGGAAGGCAACACTAGGATTAAAACAAAAAACTAAGAAAACTAATTTGCTGTAATAAAAGGACATTGTGATTGCGGAGGAAAGAGGACTGGATGTTGCTAAGCATCCACTGCAATCAGTAAAGCAGACCCTCCTCCCAGGTCCTGCATTCACTCAGCTCTACCACTCAACATACCACCAGCCGGCTGTACAGTTACTTCATACACGTAGTAGCCATGGAGCAACTTCTTTTCCTGAGTGCAAATCCTGACAGCCTGAAAATGGAAGTCACCTAGAACACCTACAAGAATGAAGAAGCATCACTGCCACACTAATGATGAAAAACATGGGCTATGCTACTGGTAAAACTTGAGCAATTATGCCTAAAATGGAGTATTTAACTTCAATAAGACTAACTCATCCTTGCGCTACAGAATAAAAACTTGCTCCTTCACATTTAACTGTAATCTCTAGAGCTGCTTTACTCTTTTAAGAATCACTCAAGGGGGCCCGGAGGCATGGCCTAGAGGTTAAAGTCCTTGCTTTGAACACCCCAGGATTCCATATGGGCGCAGGTTCCAATCCCGGCAGCTCCACTTCCCATCCAGCTCCCTGCCTGTGGCCCGGGAAAGCAGTCGACGACAGCCCAAAGCCTTGGGACCCTGCACCCACGTGGGAGACCAGGAAGAGGCTCCTGGCTTCGGATCGGCATAGCATCGGCTGTTGCGGCCACTTGGGGAGTGAATCATCGGACGGAGGATCTTCCTCTCTGTCTTTCCTCCTCTCTGTATATCTGACTTTGTAATAAAAATAAATAAATCTTTATTAAAAAAACTTTAAAAAAAGAAATCACTCAAGGAAAATCATTGTAATAACAAACTGTCATCATCCCCCACTCCCAGCACCCCAAGAAAAATATAAAATTACAATTAATTCACTATGAGATTACAGCCCCTTACATTTTTTAAACACCATGTTAAGAAAAAACTGACATTCCACATGGCTAAGCCACAGAGGGAAACACCTACACCCCACATCAAAGAGCCCAAATGTCTCTTCCAGCTGCACTTCTGATTACAGCTTCCTGTTGATGCACATCCCAGGAACCAGATAAAACTGGCTCATTTGCTTGTATCCCAGCTTCCCCACATGGGAAATTCAAATTAAGTAAGAGCAATAAAGTGAGTCCTGGCTTGAACCAGGCCCAACCTTATAGCTTCATGCATTCAGGGAGTGAACTAGCAGATTAGAGCAGTTTAAAAAAGAAGAAAAAAGATGTACAACCGCCTATACAAAATGTGCTTTAAACTGTCTGGCCTCTCAGCCTCAAGTCGTCCTGTCACCTCCAGTTTTCTTTAGACCACAAGTCAGCACAGGGCAGACGTTTTTCACCTGTCCACTAACTGAGACATTCCAAAGCATCCAAACCCATTGAACCCCCAACACTGCAAAGAGCCCCAAAACAACTCAAGCCTTGCCTTGCCAAAGCTTATTATGAGACGCAAAGGCAACTTATAAGGCACAAAAGATCATCTAATTTAACTTTTTCTTAGAATAGTAACCTCAACTATGAAAGTTAATTACGAAAACTTAAATGTACTATTGCATATGGAAAATCTGAAATAGTCCAGAATCCAGAACTTGTACATTACCATGTGCACTATTTACACGAAACCTTGTCGATAGTTATCTTGTATTTGTGGTAGCAGTAATGAAAGGAAACTTGTTCTTAACTATGAGAAGACAACAGTCCTACACCCTTCTTAACATGGACATTCCCCTGCTTGGCTGCAGTTACACGCCACATCAAAGTGTAGTACTCTCTTCAAGTCAAGCCATGCCATGAAATAGGAATTCCTCTTTGGAACAAACTGGAGGATTACATACCAGGCAAGTGCAGCGAACTACTCCTCTTCACGCCTATGCGAGGCAGAGGATCCACTTGTGTCCCTGTATTAACTGCAGACACACGTCTTCGTTCTTCCTTCTGCATAGCGGCTGCTGGTGTGCGGTCTCTTCACCACGCACCAGGCAATGAAGGAGAGAAATGCAGGATCTTTCCTCCCTCAATGAATCAGACAAAACTGGCCAAAGCAAACATACAGTCCTGCTCTCACAGGTCAGCGCACACAGACAGCAGCTAATAAGGGACCTGACACTGACAGCCACGGGAAAGCCTAGGGGCAGGCATCAGGAGTAAGAGATGCAGTTAGTGAAAAATCCACTTTCTCAACAGCTGAACAGCACGAAATCTGCTCTGCCTCCATCAACACAAGCTCCTCCCCTGACCCTCTACTGCCTTTGCCTTAAGGGGGGGGATCCTTTCTTCACTAACTGTAAATATAGACACCACACACCATTAGAAGGAAAAGAAATGCAAGAAGAACAGATCAGATGCATTCTCAAAAGAAGAGCTATGATGGATGGCAACATTCTATGGCAAATTAATACAAAAATCATTAATGCGCAAGAATGAAACAGCATTTCCAAGACAGCACCCTTAGCTGGGCAAAAGCAAGAACTTGGGGCCTTGCAAAGAGAAAGAAAATGTACCAACACTTCATTATTGTTCCTTTGTAGGTTCCAAGGCTTTCAAAAATGAGGTTTTACAGTGCCTATGTTGCTTCAACACAAAGTTTATTAACAAAATAACATAATAACAATGTTAACTAAACAGAAACAGCAGTTGTCAATCACCATTTGGGACACAGACACACTATGTCTCATCAATTATGATTCAAGTGATTTAACTTACCAAAAAAGTCGAATGAAAATGGGTCTCTTCCACCAAAAAAGTCCCTGAAGACATCCTCTGGATTACGGAATGTAAAGCCAAATTCAAAGGGACTGTCAAAATGACTTCCACCTGCGGAAACACAGCATATCTCTTACTTCACAAATTTTGGCATTTTAGGCAGGCATTATTTGCAGATTATTATGTAAATCATGGCAACCTTTCCTAAATCTGAGATGGTCAAACCTAAAACACAAGCTTTAGAAATGCACATACCCTAGAACTGACAACCGAGTATGCAGAAACCAATTCTCCAAAGTCACAGAAATGATTCCTTCCCGGGCCAGCATTACCCATAGCTGTGCCTCCAACAAACCACAGGTGCACCAGGTCCTCTTGTTCTACTTCTGATTCAGCTCTGCTTGCAGCCTGATAAGCAGTGGAAAATGGTCTAAGCCTTTGGGTTCCTGTCACCCTCATGGAGACCTAGAAGTATTTCCTGCTCCTTGAGAGCCTGGCCCAGACAAGGCTGTTGCTGCCACTAGGGCAGTGAACCAGCAGATGGAAGATCTGTCTCTCCCTCTAGCTCTGAATTTCAAATAAATGAATATCAAGTATTGCTCACTCTCTAAATCTACAACAGCATATATTACACATTGTACCTATCCACATTAATGACAATTAAGAATAGCTTCAGGAGCCACCTGGTAGTGGAGGCCACCGGGCAAGACAGTCGCCTCATGCCTACTTCATATGAGCCAGCCACCATGTGCACATAGTGAGCTGCTCCCAGGCGGCCAGTGCGCCATTTGGTGCCAGGCCCTGTGTGCTGGCCACCCGGCAGGGGAACTCTGGGATTTTGGTTCTCTGATGAGCTGCTTAGGTAGCTCCATGCTGAACCCACAGTGCTTTGGAGCCATGAATCAACTCTGAAGATTCCCAATGACAGCTGTAATTACGTAACAATACTGAGCACCGAATACCAGTTCATTCAAAAGCTCAGACTCCGGGCATGCCCAGCAGGATGTCCCCATTACCTGCCATGATGATGGATCAGCAGACGGGTCACAGTGGGCAGGGCCATGACATTAACACTCAAGAACCATATCTGGGGGTGGAGTGTATGGGGGGTATTTGGGCCACACCCTGTAGAAATTCTAACCCCACTGGAGACTTAGGAGAAGGGATGGTGACAGTCTAAGCTGGGTGAGACCAAGGAGCTTAGCCACAGTGTTTAGGGCAGGGACTGAATCAGGCGATGGGCTGTGCTGAGCCAGAGTGTGAGCCAGAGTGACCGACTGGCATGCTTAGCATGGGCTGTGATCAGGCCCGGATGGGGAGCTGGGGAGAGACTTTGGGTAGGTGAAGGTTCCCACCAAGGGGCGCACACGCTGGAATGGGGCTGCGTTCTGGTCGGGACCGTTGTAGCCTCCTTGGTACAAGTGTGGACTGGGATTTGGCACACTGGGCCGGGTCAGACTGTAACACCTTCTGGTGTTCTGGAGGACCAGTGTAGATGTGGGACGGACTAGTCCAGGTCTAAACCCCTACTGAGCCATGTATGTGCTATATGTGGTACATCCAGCAGCAAGAACCAGAATGAGTTGAAGGCCAGTTAAAAAAAAAAAAAGCTGTTGCTCCTGCTAGGACAAGAGATGAACTGAGTGGTGCTGGCCCACGGACCCAGTGGTAAGCGTGAAACCTGGCACCAGGAGGGGCTCTGAGGGAGGGGTCTGAGCCACTCCTCTGACAGGACACGGATCCTTCAAATAAGAGCAAGAAGCACGGAAGGAAACAGCCCGGAAAAAGTGCACCACTGGCATACATTTGGCATGGGTTGAGGGCGGACCAGGCTGAGTCAGTTTGCGTCCTTCACTGGCAAATCCGACGCCAGAGCAGAGTGTGGGTCAAGCCAGGTTCGGTCGCGACAAAAGCAGGATACAACACAGAATACCAAGGTGAGCCTGCCTGTGCCAGATGAGACCACAGCACCCAACCAACACACGTGAGAATCAGAAAGGGGAAGCAGAGCCAACAGGGGAATAGTGGGTGGTTCCCGTGCTGGGTAGCTACACCCACTGGAGAACATGAGCTGGGACCAGACTAAGTAGGGCTGCAGCACCTGTGCGCCTCATATGGACCAGATCAGGGAAGAGCCAGGATGGGCACACTATTCCCACTAGCGTTAACAAAATGGGAGGGGGTGAGAGCTGTTGGGGCTTAGCCGTAGCAGAAACTGGCACGAGGCACCATTACTGTCAAGTCTAACCACAGGGCCACCTGGACAGAGCACAACCGAGAGTGAGCGTGACCTGGGAGGGAAATAGTGGGTTCCCCCTCTTGGGTCAACACTCCCATGGGAGGGCACAATAACAACTAGGACAGGGGCTGGGTTGGCTAGACAGAGGCACTCAACAACATCCGTGAGGGCTGGACAGTTGAGCTGGCTGGATGGAACTAAGCTCCATTACCCTTCGACATTTACAAGAGCACAATGGGATATGGGGCAGACTGAACTAAGCTGCTACACATGCCGGCAAATCAGGGCAGGGGCAGGGGGCAGGGGGTTATTGGAGATCACTCCCACTAGGCTGCAGCTCCCATTGGTGTGAAGGCCGAGTACGTGACGAGCAGAACCAGGACGGACTACAACACCCATTGATTCCAGTGGAAGTCGAGGCTCAAGACGGAATCAACCCAGCAATTTCAACCACCAGCTGAACAGGGACCAGAGAAGGTCTCCCCAAGAAGCTGTTGAACTTATCTGGACAATAAGATGCTGGACTCTATGCATGGTATATGCTTGCAATGAAGGAATCTCAACTGAACTTGAACTGTGGTTATGCAGCAAGGTGGAGGAATTCACCATGGGGGGAGGGTTAGGGGAATGGTGGGGGGAACCCCAGTACCTATAAAACTGTGTCACATAATACAATGTAATCAATAATAAAAAAAAATAAAAATTAAAAAAAAGAATAGCTTCAGGGCTTTAATTTTTGTAAGTGATGAATCAAGCTGCTCACCACATAACAAAACCAAACTCTGGTGACATCTTGAAGTAAACCTATTTTAGTTTTTTTTTGCAGCACAAGTTACTCTTGTGCTGACTTGATAGTATAAACACATTACAAATTACATCCATGCCATATACACATGCACTTATAGGATAAAATATTAACTTTTAATCAATTTCTCCTTGCTCTCCACTTCAGCCCACTTCTGAGGATGTATGTTAGCTACTATCACAGACTCTAACCAAGGCACTAAGAAATTCACAATTCCAAAACAAGACAAATTCAGCTCTTTGTAAAGATCAAAGAAACCTATCACATACATACCTCCTCCGCCACCGTTTAATCCTTCTTTGCCGTATCTGTCATAGATGTCCCGTTTTTTAGCTATAAGTTGTAGAGAGAGACATTAAACTCAAGTATTTTTCCATACCTTTGAATTTCAATAGGTAAGGAATTTCCCAAGTTATAAGTCAGCTTTTAATGTTCGGTTATAAGAATTTTAAGGATTTGGGGCGCGGCGGTGAGGCCTAGCGGCTAAAGTCCTCGCCTTGAATGCACTGGAATCCTACATGGGCACTGGTTCTAATCCCAGCAGCTGAACTTCCCATCAAGCTCCGTGCTTGTGGCCTGGGAAAACAGTCGAGGATGGCCCAAGGGCTTGGGACATGCGGCGAGTGAACCAGCAGGCTCGCTCGCTCGCTCTCTGTTTTTCAAATAAAACGTAAACAGGGACAATGTGGTAGCTAGATAGGCTAGTTTTCCATTTATAAGTGCCACACTCCATATTTCCAATTCAGTGCTCTGAGAATGACCTGGGAAAGCAATGGAGGACAGCTCAGCAGTGTGGGTTCCCGCACCCACGCTGGAGTGCCTGGTGGCACTGGCTCCTAGCCTCTGGCGGGCTTAGCTCCAGCCATCTGTTGCAGCCACTTCAGGAATGAACCAATGGATAAACGATCTTTCTCTTTCCTTTTTGCTGTAAATATGCCTTCCCACAAAACTAAGTCTTAAAAGATCCTTTAAAAAAAAAAAAAAAAGACAGAAAAGTATACTTATTACCAAATACAGCAAAACTGGTCATGTGCTGCTAACTGTTGAAGCTGAAGGGTGGTTACTGTGGGTTCTTTGAGGGCCCAGTGCAGTTGCCTAACAGTTAAAGCCCTTGCCTTGAATGCGCCAGGATCCCATATGGGCACCGATTCTAATCCTAGCAGCCCTGCTTCCCATCCAGCTCCCTGCCTGTGGCCTGGGAAAGCAGTCGAGGACAGCCCAAAGCCTCGGGATCCTGCACCCATGTGGGAGACCTGGAGGAAGTTCCTGGCTCCTGGCTTCAGATCAGCGCAGCACATTGCGGTCACTTGGGGAGTACAGAAAAGCTTCCTCTGTCTCTCCTTCCTCCCTTTCTGTATTATCTGCCTTCCCAATAAAAACAAATCTTTTTAAAAAAAGAAACTCTTTGCAGAGTGACTTACTACTTGATCTGATGTAGACACGCTTAGGTCCTATGTGGTCACTGATCCACTCTCCTAAGTTTGCTAAATGTCTCCACCTTTACTCACCCCTGGGTTTTTGCACTCTACAGCACACCGAGGCCTTGCTGGTAGCTGAAGTCTCGGACACTGTTCCACGCACCTTAATAATCTGCATCTAGCTGCTCTCTGACTTTTCACCTATTTCTGAAACCAAGCCAACAGATCTAAAAACAAATAACATTTGATACCTACAGTAGTCTAAAAAAAAATCCGAAGCCTTACAGCGCTCAATTACCTTCTCCACTGAAGAAGTCCTTTCAAACAGTAGGCTTACCCCATTCACAAGGCACTATTTTCAAGCAGGGCAATGGTGACGTCAGATGGTCCAAGTAACAACGTACAGTGATCTGAGACCTACAACACTACTTCTTCAGACTGAAGGTATGTACACAAACCATTGTCCAAGTGCCATCTTGGCAGAAAATGCTGGAAGTTTAGATGCTCTTTCAGCACTCATACTTAACTGTATGAGCTGAAATCATTTTAACAAAAATGAAAACTCAGTGGCTCCCAGACTCACCTGGGAGTGATCCTATTACATCGGTCTTGTGGAACACTCCAATTTCTCGTCCTGTGCGGCCACTCTAACCTATCCCCCAAAGTGCCACAGAAGGCCAGCATTACTCACCATCAGATAACACCTCATAGGCTTCAGCTACTTGTTTGAATTTCCTCTCTGCTTCTTCTTTATTCTCAGGATTTTTATCTGGGTGCCACCTCAGTGCCAGTTTCCGGTATCTTGGGGGAAAAAAAATTAAAATTCTCAATCATACCAGAAATTCAGAAATCAACTGGATTTTCAAACCATGATCAAGCAAATAGCTCCAAAGCTGCTAACCAGTGAGATAAACTCCAATTTCAATTGTAACGTCTCCCTTGCTACCAGAATAAATTATACAACTTCTAAATTCACAGAGAAGTAACAACATCTCCAGAAAAAGGAAAATGTGAGAATCTGATGATCAAAATGTCCATTTATTTGTGGTGATTAAGTTAAGCAAGTATAAAAAGTTGATGGAGAAAAGGGATGCTGATTAATGTTGATTCCAGATTCCCTCAGCCAAGCCACTCCATTCACATCAGCCAGACAAGGGAAACCAGCAACTACAGAAGGGCAACATCTCCTCTAGTTCAGATTCAAGGTTCAAACACGACTTCTGCAAAAATTCTACAAATACACTCACAGTCTGTTTCAAGGTTTTAATTAGCCTAATAACCATCTGGTTGTTTTTTAAGGCAGATATAAATCTTCCATCCACTGGTTCAGTCTCCAAGTGACCACAACAAACATAGCTGGGTCAATCTGAAGCCAGGAGCCATGAGCCGCTTCCAAGTCTCCCACGTGGGTGGCAGGGTCCTAAGGCTTTGGGCCACCCTCTTCTGCCTTCCCGGACCACAAGCATGGAGGGAGCTGGATGGGAAGTACAACAGCTAGGACACTACGTGGTGTCCATATGGGATCCAAATATGTGCAAGTAAAATATTTAGTCACTAGGCCATCTTCCAAGGCCCCAGTTAACTATGCGCTTTTAAAAAACTAATTAAAAATCTATTTTTTATTCATAAATATTACAGAGAGGGAGAAATCTTTCATCTGCTGGTTCACTCCCCAAATGTCCAAAATAACTGAGCTGGGCCAGTCTAAAGTTGGAAACCAAGGGCTTCTTCTGGGTCTCTCATGAGTGCAGGGCCCCAGGGCCTTGAGCCAACCTGTGCTGCTTTCTCAGACCATGAGCAGGAATTGGGCTCAGAAGTCAGCAGCCAGGACTAGAACCAGTGTTCATGTGGAAGGCCAGTGCCACAGGCAGAGGATTAGCATGCAACCACGCAGGTCCCTTCTACAAGCTTTTTCAAATACCAAAAACAAAATCAACACAATATAAATAGGGTAAATGCTAAAGGTGGCAATAAGAAGGGTGAAAGAAAATACCACTGCTCTGGTGTAGCAAATTAAGCCACTTCCTACACCATGTTTCCTGCATCCCATTACACATTAGTTCAATTCCCAGCTTCTCCACTTCTGATGCAGCTCCCTGTGAATACAAAGGAAGAAGCAGAGAATGGCCCAAGTACCTGGGCCCTTGTACCCACCTGGGAGAAATCCAAAGAAGATCCTGGCACCTGCCTTTGGCCTGGCCCAGCTCTACTTATTTTGGACATCTGGGGAGTGAACCAGCAGATGGAAGATCTGTCTCTCAGTAAATTGCCTTTCAAATCAACAATGAATTTTACGTGAGGGATGGGCACTGTGGCATGGCAAATTTAGCCTCTGGGGACACTCACAGCACTCCTCAGAATGCAGGCTACCCTGGTTCCAATCCAGCTTTTCTTAGCAATATGGCTGCACATGCTAGGGACACTGCATCCATGTGGGAAACCTGACCCAGGTCCAGCTGCTACAGGCATCTGACGCACAAACTAGAGGACAGAAGCCTTCTCGGGCCAGGTGCCCAAATGGGCGTCCATTCATTTCCTGGCCGCTCCACTTTCCATCCAGTTTTCTGCTTATGGGTGAGAGTGGATGGCCCAGATGCTTGGGACACTGCAACAACATGGGACACCTGGAAGAAGCTCCTGCCTTCAGATCATCTCACTTCCAGAAACTGTTGTGGCCATCTGGTGCATGAACCAGCAGAATGGAGGGTCTTTCTCCTCCTACACCTATGATTTTCCAATAAAAACAAATAATTTTTTTTTTAAATTTTTAAAAATCTCTTGGACCTGGCACAGTGGCCTAGTGGTTAAAGGCCTTGCCTTGAACGCGCTGGCATCCCATATGGGTGTGGGTTCTAATCCTGACAGCTCCACTTCCCATCCAGCTCCCTGCTTGTGGCCTGGGAAAGCAGTCAAGAACGGCCCAAAGTCTTGGGACCCTGTACCTGCGTGGGAGACCTGGAAGAAGTTCCTGGCTCCTGGCTTCAGATCGGCACAGAACCGACCTTTACGGTCACTTGGGGAGTGAATCATCGGATAGAAGATCTTCCTCTGTCTCTCCTGCTCTCTCTCTCTCTCTCTCTATATATATATATATGTATCTGTGTAATAAAAACAAATCTTTCAAAAAAATTTTTTTTTCATCTCTTGATATCCATCTCTCCCACTATCCTTTCAAGTAGAAAATGCACTGGCAGAGGAGGACAGACTTAAGCCTAGACCAAGAATCTTTACCAGTCTTTTCAGCAGTTGGCAACATACCAAGGCAAGGACATTGTATTCAACTTAACTTGAGACACTGAACAAAAGCTGTGGCTTAACTATTATAACCTAATTAAACATGGATTCTAACAGTTTGCTTTTATAGTACCGTGGACCTAAACATGTGATAAAACAGATCCTGTTGAAGATGCTCAAAAACGACAGATCACATCAAAAAGACTAATGGAAGGAATCTGCACTAGTTAATAATCACGTAGATTCAACGCAAGAAGGATCTTCCTCTCTCTTCTGTTAAATCTGACTTTCCAATAAAAATAATACATCTTAAAACAAAAAAGAACCCCAAACCAACTGTACTGCAAGTAGCTCTTTGGGAATATTTCATATTCCAAGTACTTTGTTTTAGTCTGCTTTGAGCAGATACGGGATTCACTATCGCAAAGCACAGTACCTGAGTAAGCTAAGGAATGAACCAACAAGTAAATAAATACTAGGCCTAAATATGAGAAGACAAAGAGCACTGTTTGACATTCAAAGGCAGCATCCCACACCAAGAGCCATTTTAGTAAGCAAAGTTGTAACACCATTCATCAATGTACAATAATGCAGATAAAATATCTCAAAAATAAAATAACTTACGCTTTTTTAATATCCTCGGGTGAGGCATGTTTTTGCACGCCTAGAACTTCATAATAATCCACCATGTTTTAACACGTTGCTGCAACTAATCCTGCAATTGAAAATCTCTGGTCAGTAACAAGTCAATCAAAGTTGCAGAAAGCTGGGGGAAGGAGAAGGGAAGGGAAAGCAGCTGAGAAGGAAAACAAGGCATCGGCTCAGGCTCTGGAGGCCCACAGGCCATCTAGGCCATCTCCCAAGGCCTGTCACTAACCACAGCCTGCCCTGCTGCCACGGCTTTGTCTGATCCAAGGCTCATCCTTTAAGATCCTTCTTCTAGATTTAGAAGGGGGGGAAAAAAAAGACTCTGAAATAACCTAATAATAGCGTCGACTAAAAAAACGAACAGGTGACTCAGCTCTGCAGCAGACACAGGTGGCCACTTGACCTCCAACTGACAGGCTCACTGGGTCTTGTTCTCCCAGACCTGGGCTGTGCTCAAAAGAGTGTTTCTGCTTTCAATTTACTCCTGTTCCAGGCTTGAGGCCAGACCGAGGATCCCAACATGAACACACTGTCCCTAGCATGAAGACCACGCATGCACAAGACTCCAACAAAGAAACCCATTCCTCCATTCCATGGCCTCAACAGGTTAAAGCTTCAGCCCTCCCACACATGCAAACACTGCCTACATCCAAGAACCAGAGGTGGAAGGCAGAGCATCCCTTCCGCAGAGGTCACTGTGAGCTCCACCGGTATGTCTTATTTAATCATGTACAACAATGCAAATCCGCTTTGCCTGCTCCAAAACTGCAACAGGAACTTCCGGTCCTACAAAAATAAACTATACATTTTTAAAAAAGGAAAAAATTTTGAGTTACTGAGAGAGACAAAAAGCTTCTATTTGCTAATGGCCAAAACAAAACCAAGAGGCCCAAAAGTCCATCTGAATATCCCATTCAAGTAGGCCCATTTTCCACACATAAACAGGAAGCTAGATCAGAAACAATTCTTGTTGGGATTCAAACCAACACTCCTACGGCATACAAATGATGGGTCGCGATGCTCTGCCCTGCAAGCTGCTGTTTCAAAGATATTTCCCTATTAAATTCCTTCTAATGTGATCAGCTAGTTGTGGGGGTCTTGAAGCAGCCTACTAGGCACTGCCGGGAGAGCCAGCATTCCACATGGGAATGCCAAGTTCCACTTCCAGCTCCTTCACTTTTCCTGTTAATGTGCCTGGGAAGCAATACGTGCTGCTTCACCTAACTTGAGCTCCCGTCACCCACGAGACACAAAGATGGAGTTCCTAAGTTCCTGGCTTTTTTGGTCATTTGGGGAATGAACCAACAGATGGAAGTCTTTTTGGTCACAGCTTCGTGGCAAAGCTGGATTACATCTCCACCTACAATGCTGGCATCCCACACAGGCACCAACTGGGATCCCAGCTCTTCTACTCCCAATCCAGCCCCCTCCTAACGTGCCTGGGAAAGCAGCAGATGACCCACGTAACTTGGACCCTCGTATGTGAGAGACCCAGAAGTCTCAGGCTCCTGGCTTCAGCCTGGCACAGCCTAGCTGTGAATGGACAGTGAATGAAAATTCTATTAACATTGCCTGCTGCATTGTGGATCCTCCCTCCACCCAAATACGTGAATAAGGAAGGTGTGGAAATAGTGGTCTCACCTGCTTTCCCCCAGTCCTTGACCCTTCCCACACAAATCAACTGTGTAAACATCATTAAAAACAAAATTTAAGGGCCCAGCGGCGTGACCTAGTGGTAAAGTCCTCGCCTTGAACGCGCTGGGATCCCATATGGGCACCGGTTCTAATCCCAGCAGTTCCACTTTCCATCTAGCTCCCTGCCTGTGGCCTGGGAAAGCAGTCAAGGACGGCCCAAGACTTTGGGACCCTGCGCCCTGCGTGGGAGTCCTGGAGGAGGTTCCTGGCTCCTGGCTCCAGATCGGCACAGCACTGGCGGTTGTGGTCACTTGGGGAGTGAACCACCGGACGGAGGAGCTTCCTCTCTGTATATCCGCCTTTCCAACGGAAATAAATCTTAAAAAAAAAAAAGAAAGAAAGAAAAAGGACGGGAAAAGACAATGGGGGGGAACATGATTGACTGGGGCCCAGGCTCTGTGTCTCCCTAACTTTGAAATGTTTATATCAAAACACACACACACACACTTCTTTGTAATATGGGAGATGTAGTCCCAGAGAGTACAAAGCCATAACACAACATACACAAAATCTTATCCATTACCTTCAAAAACTATGACAACGTAAAAAAGCTACCATCAAACACTATCCTGGAAAAATAAGGGAATCTGTATAATACAACAATAAGATTCCACAAAAGGCACAATCCCTGAAAAAAAGGAAACCATTCTAAATGTAAGAAAAGCATCCAAGAGGACAAAACATCCAACTTCCAAGAACCTAACAGAGACCTGAAAGAGTATGTGTAATAAAGTTCTTACAGGGAATCAAGACGGGGTGAACCCTTGGTCTGGCAGCTGCCATGCCGCGAGGGCTCCCTGTCCCCAGCAGGGCCCCTGGGTTACTGTGCTGGCTTGCTCCTGAGTCCAGCGTCCTGCTAGGAGATTCCTGGAGGCACCAGGTGACGCCTTGTGGGAGACCCTAACTGAAGTTCTAGCTCCTGTCTTGAGTCCGGCTCTCCCCTACTATTCCAGGAACTCGGGAAGTGAACTAGCAGATGCGACTTGTCTTAAAAGCAGATGGCCTTTAAAAATAATCAAGATAGATAAAAGAAATGGAAAGGGGAGAGAGAAAAACCTGCTTGTTAATGACCAAAACAGTAACACTACTCACACAGCCTGAGGAAAAGCTTCCAGATAAATGCAGACACGGAAAACTGAGCACAAATTTGAGCAAAAGGCCAATAGCCAAGACAAACTTCAGGTGATGCTGTCACTGATTCTTAACATGACAGTGACGAGGCTCGGGCAGTATCCACTCCTCGGGTCCTTGTTATCAGGCAGGGCGAAAGGGTGGTAATTTTGAAGGCAGCCAGGTAAAGCCCACAGGTAAAAGACAAATACTAGCAAAGCAACAAGGTAAAGCAATCTTCACACCAGGAAAGGGAAGATATTAACATACAGGAAGTGGGGGGGGGGACAGTGAAAAGCCCAAGACTTTATGCAAAGGCATTTGGCCTGGAGGGTACCAGAGGCTACAGACCTCCTCATCTCCCATCACTCCTTACACATGGAGCACCTCCCTTACTGGAAAACTTACGTTTCCACCGATTTCAACCACCCATTAACACAGACCCCCAAGAGAAGCACCAGTGGCTCCAGTAACTGGGCTCCTGCGATCCACACTAGAGACCTGCTTTGGCTTTGCCCAGGACAGAAATTAGGGAGGCAACCAGTAAACGGGCACAGACCTACCTCTGCATCATTTTCCAAATCTTTTCAAATCTGATGTATACATGCAATATTTAAATTGTAAGTATTTCTACAAACATTAAGTCACACCAGCAACACTACCATCCTGCATGGGCACGGACTGAACCCCAGATCCTTCCTAGTGTGCCTGGGGCAGGAGCAGAAGAGGGCCCTGCAAGCAAGGAATACCAACTAAGGCCGCTGCTTTAGCCTGACCCAGTCCCAGCCACTGTGGAGTGACAAAAATCTCTATCAAATGAAACCAATCTCTTATAATAGATACATAAGAAACTCTAAAATTTGAGAATTAAAAACATTACATTACACAGTAAATAAGTACTTCAAATATCATTTTAGAAGGGCTGGATGCAGTAGCCTAGCTGAAGTCCTGGCCTTCAATGCATTGGGATCCCATATGGGCTGTGGCGCTAGTTCTAATCCTGGCAGCCCAGCTTTCCAACCACCTCTCTGCTTGTGGCCTGGGAAAGGAGTTGAAGATCATCCAAAGCCTTGGGGCTCCGCACCAACGTGGCAGACCCGGAAGAAGCTTTCGGGTTAGGGTCCACTTAGCTCCAGCCTTTGTGGTCACTTGGGGAGTAAATCAGTGGATGTAAGATTTTTGCTCATATCTCCTTCTCTCTGTATATCCTCCTTTCCAAAAACATAAATAAATCTTTAAAACGTATGGCTCAAGTGTTTAAAAAAATGAGTGCGATCTTTCCACTTCCCACTTCCACAACTGAAAGGGAGTTAAACATGAGCCCCAAAATAATGGCATCATTAAGCAGCAGGGTAAGCCCTCACTGAGGCAGCCTCCATCGCAAACTGCAGTGCTTGGTTCCTGTCCAGGTGAGGTCCCTGGCAGCTAGCTTCCTGCTAATGCATCCTGAGAGGCAGCAGGTGGGGCGGAGTGGTTAGGTTCCAGCACTCCTTGTGGGACAGCAGACACCCAGTGTTCCTGGCTTAATCCTGACAAACTCAGATGGTGTACGCATGCAGAGACTCAGCCCACAGACAGACCTGTCTCTTCTGAGCAAAGCCCAAAACAGCCATCAGATCTTAAATTTTCTGGCTATAATTTTACATGGTAGATTTATACTACTAAATTGTTAAATAATTGCAATTCCAATTATCTCTTGTTGATGATTGGTATCCTCTCACAATTCCATGAACTAAAACCTTAACTCCGGATGTGACTGCATTTGGATACAGTATCCTCATGAGAACAGCCCAAAACCTCAGGACCCTGCACCTGCGTGGGAGACCTGAAGAAGCTCCTGGCTCCTGGCTTTGGATCGGCTCAGCCAGCAGCCGTTGCAGCCAGTTGGGGCGGGGGGGGGGGGGGGAGGTTGCGGAATCAGAGGATGGAAGATCTTTGTGTCTCTCCTCTCTATAAATTTGCCTTTCCAGTTATGATAAATAAATCTAAAAAAAAAAAAAAAGTGGGGAGGGAGGATGTTCCTCATTCTCACTTCTTCATGAGATGGCAGCTGTCTGCAAAAGTCAGGGAGGGCTCCCTCCCAGGAATCAAAGCTCCTGAACTTTCCAGCACCTGAAACTTTGATTAATGAATTTGTTGTTTGAGGTGGAAAACAGGCTGGGGTGGGGGAACCAAATGGCACAGTGAGCAGCAGGACACATGTCATCACCTCCATGAGTGGCATGTGCAGTCTCAGCTGCTAGCTTCCGATCCAGCCTCCTG